AGGAAGGAAGGAAGGAAGGAAGGAAGGAAGGAAGGAAGGAAGGAAGGGGATGATGAACAGGAGTTCAGATCCCTCCTTACTCATAGAAACGCTACTTGGGCTTTGGCTGAAGCCACCTCAGAAGGATCTTGTGTGGAAACCAACCCCACAGCCTGACCATTTGATGTTCTACATGACCAACAAGCTCTACCATGAACAGAAGATCCAACAGCCCAACTGAGGACCATGCCAATGAAAAGATCAGCAGATTTCACCCAGCTTCTGGAGACCACAGGGGCCTCCACGGACAGGCGGAGCTGCTCCAACATGGTTTTAAGCCCCACCTTCTTGGCTGAAGGATCCTGACAGGCAGGCGAGGATAAGAAGGACAGAAGGAAGGACGACCATCTTGGTGGACAGTGGAGGAACCAGCTGGCCGCAGGAACTCTTGTTCTGATGTCCTTGGGCACGGACACCCAATCCCCTCTTTAAATGGTGAAACTCTGGGAGGTGGCTTGCGTATTTCTGTTGAACTCAGGACAAACGGGAGTATTGACCGCGAGTTTCTTCCTTAGACTTTCCCCGAAAGACTATTTACACTGCAACGTGCTATTCTACTGTACATAAGGTGGTTACTTAACTACTGCATGTGTGTAGAGATATATTTAGGGGCTCGGTTTTTATTTTATTTCGTGTGGTTTTTTTTTAAAACTGATTAGATGCACAATCAAAATAGTTTAGAGGGACCTTCCGTTGAGTTTGGCTTCACCCTCGGATGGGTCTGGGTGGCTGTTCTTGGGGTGTCCAGGCTGGGAAGTTCCTTTGAAGGTCAGAAAGAGAGGAGACCAGGGGTGTCCAGAATTGGAGCCCACAGGTCTGGCCAAGGTTGGACACTCCTGGTCTGGAAGGCGGTGGGTGGAGAAAGAAGGGGTGGCTTAGGTCTTTCGAAGGCAGGAAGGAAGGAATTGGAAGGGGAAGAGAGGAGGGAGGGAGGGAAGGAAAGAAGGAATTGGAAGGGAAAGGGAAAGAGGAAGGAAGGAAGGAAGGAAGGAAGGAAGGAAGGAAGGAAGGAAGGAAGGAAGGAAGGAAGGAAGGAAGGAAGGAATTGGACGGGAAGGGGAAGGGGGAGGGAGGGAGGAAAGAATTAGAAGGGGAAGGGAAAGGAAAGAGGAAGGAAGGAAGGAAGGAAGGAAGGAAGGAAGGAAGGAAGGAAGGAAGGAAGGAAGGAAGGAAGGAAGGAATTGGAAGGGGGAGGGAGGGAGAGAGGTAGAAAGGAAAGAATTGGAAGGGGAAAGGAAGGGAAAGGGGGAGGGAAGAAGGAAGGAAAGAAGCAGGGAAGCAAGAAGGAAGGAAGGGAGAAAGGGAAGAAGGAAGAAAAATACAAAGAGACTCATGCCAAGGCTTGCAAGATTCTATCTGTCGATACTTTAGGGTGGTACTATGGGCCCCCAGACTTGCATTTAGTTTTTGTTTTTTTACCCAATAAGAAGACTCCCCAAGGAACATTCAACCCAACATGACGCAAAAAGCTACTTTTATTGATAAAGAAAGTATAAAGTTCACACATTCTATACAAGTACGGATTACCTGCCTACAATTTGTTAAATGGCTACTTGAGCCCTTTGCATCCCATTGCAGAAATATAGATTCCCCCCCAAAAGAAATTTTCTTTTCTTTTCTTCTTTCTTTTTCCCTTTCCTTTTCTTCTTTTCTTTCTCAGATGCAAGCATTTTGGGGAGCCAGGAATTCCTCCACAAAGACCTCGTTCTTGATGGTGTAGCTCAGGGACTTCCAGCTAACCAGAGGGCCAGAGAGCTCAGCGTTATTGCTGGACAATCTAATCTCCGTGGGGGTCAGCACCCGGGCCCACAGGTAGACCTCCGACATCTCCCCCACGAAGGATTGGTTGACGTCAAAGCCCCCTCCGAAGCTGTCCTGGTCTTGGCCCAGCATGATGGAGGCCTGGGGGCTGATGCTGTAACCCTTTTTCAGGCCCAGTCGAGGGAGGGCTTCTCCGTTGAGCCACAACTGGACTAGCCCATTGCTGGAGTCCCACGAAACACAGACGTGGTCCCAGCTCGGTTTCTCCTTCGGGGGAACCTTGAAATTGACCACTGCACCACCCACGTGAATGGCGTACTCGTTGGGTTGGCTCTTGTAGATCAGGAAATCGTTGTCGCTGGACCGGGTGGCGTAAGAGAAGAGGGCGTACGCACGGGGCAGGAGGGTGTAGTATCTCAAACAAACGGTCAGCTTGGTCAAGGGGAGCTGGTTGGAGACCTGGAGATCCACCACGGCCGTAGCAGTTGGTGCTGGGAACACAAAGGCCTTGTTCCTGAGATCTAGAAGGAGACAAAAGAGAACCTGGTCAGCCGGACACCAGCCTTGTAGAGGAGGGTTGACGTCCCACGGCCGTTTTTTGCCCAGCACGAAGTAAAGCCAAATTAAGTCATCCAGCTTGGAATGGCTGACTCTCTTGAAGAAGAGGTTCTCTTCTCCATTCAAGGACAGGGAATGAGGAGGACACTCCCAGAGATCTGGGCGCCAAGCAGGAGAGCAGGTCTCAAAGTCCTAAGTTTCTTCTGCTTAAGTTGAGGGAGGGAGGGAGGGAGGGAAGAGAATGGGAGGGAGGAGGGAATGGGAAGGAGGAGAAAAGGAAGGGAGGGAGGGAGGGAGGGAATGGGAGGGAGAAAGGAGAATAACAGATTTACAGAATAACAAAGTTGGAAGGAAGGAGGGACGGAGGGAAGGGAGGGAGGGAATGGGAGGAAGGGAAGGAATGAAGGAAGGTGTTCAGCCTCAATTTAGTTTGGTGGTGCAATCGTATGAATTCAGTTTGT